ATGGCTGTAGTTGCCATCTGCAGTGATCTTTGAGCTCAAAAATACAAAATCCGACACTGCTTCCTTTTCTTCTCCCTCTATTTGCCAGGAAGTAATAGGACCAGTTGCCAAAATCTCAGTTTTTTTGGTGTTAAGCTTCAAACCAGCTTCCACACTCTCCTCTTTCATCCTCTTTAAGAGGCTTCTTAATTCCTCTTCACTTTCTGCCATCAGACTGGTATCATCTGCATATCTGAGAGTGTTGATATTTCTCCTGGCAACCTTAATTCTGACTTTTGCTTCATCCAGCCTGGCATTTTGCATGATGTACTCTGCATATCAAAGTTAAATAAATAAGGTGACAATATACAGCCTTGTTGTACTCCTTTTCCAAACTTAAACCAATTAGTTGTTCCTTGTTTGGTTCTAGCTGCTGCTTCTTGTCCTGCATACAGGACCCTTGGGAGACAAGTAACATGATCTGGTACTCCCATCTCTTTGAGGACTTGTTCAATTTTGCTGTGATCCACAGAGTCAACGGTTTTACTGCAATCAATGAAGCAGAAGTAGACATTTTTCTGGAACTCCCTTGCTTTCATCATAATCCAGTGAATATTGGTGATTTAGTCACTAGTTCCTCTGTCTCTTCAAAAACCAGTCTGCTCTTCTGATAATTTTTGCTTTGCATATTGCTGAAGGCTTGCTTGTGGAATCTTAAACATAACATTGTTGGCATGTGAAATGAGTGCAATTGTTTGGTAATTTGAACATTCTTTGGCATTGCTCTTCTTTAGGATTGGGATGTAAAATGATTTTTGCCAAATTTAGTGGCCACGGTTGAGTTTTCCAAATTTGCTGGCATATTGGATGAAGTACTTTAACAACATTATCTTTCAAAATTTTAAATAGCTCAGCTGGAATTCTAACACCTCCACTAGCCTTATTGTTAGCAATACTTCCTAAGGCCCACTTGACTTCATTCTCTAAGATATACGGCTCTAGATCAGTAACCATACTATCGTGGTTATTGGTGATATGAAGATATTGCTCATGTAGTTCTTTGTATATTCCTACCACTTCTTCTTAATCTCTTCTGCTTCTAAGTCCCTACCATTTTTGTCTTTTATCTTTCCCATTTTTGCCCCAAACTTTCCCTTGATATCCCTAATTTTCTTGAAGAGATCTCTTATCTTTCATATTCTATTGTTTTCTTCTATGTCTTTACATTACTCATTTAAGAAAACCTTATCTCTCCTTGGTATTCTCTGGAATTGTGCATTCAGTTGGGTATATTCCTTTCTCCTTTCCCTTCCCTTCTTTCCTCAGCTATGTGGAAAGTCCTCATCAGCTGTTTTGCTTTTTTGTTGTTCTTTTTCTTTGGAATGTCTTTTGTTCCTGCCTCATGTATGATATTGCAAACCTCTCCATAGTTTTTGAGGCATTCTACCAGATTTAATCCCTTAAATCTATTCATCACCTCCACTTCATATTCATTACAGATGTTGTTTAGGTTATACCTATATGGTCTGATGGTTTTCCCTACTTTCTTAAATTGAAGTCTGAATCTGTCCATCTTGGGTAACCCCGAATAGCATAGCTCATAGTTTCATTGAGCTATTCAAACTCCTATACTACAACTAGGCAGTGATCCAGAAGGGAATAATAGTAACAGTAACAATAATAGCTAATGTTCATATAGCACTTTAAAGGCAGGTAGGTGTAACAGTCGATAAAGTGCCAGGCTTGGAGTCAGGAAGACTCATCTTTGTGAGTTCATATCTAGTCTCAGGCACATACTAATTGTGTGAACCTGGGCAAAAGTCACTTAACCCTGTTTGACTCAGTTTCCTCATCTGTGAAATGAGCTGGAGAAGGAAATGGCAAACCACTCTAGTATCTTTGCCAAGAAAACCCCAGATGGGATCATGAAGAGTCAGACGTGACTAAAAACGACAAAAAGTTGCTCCCATTTTCTTCTCATAAGAACCTAGTGAGTTAAGTGATATTATCCCCATTTTACAGATGAAGAAACTGAGGCAGACAGAAGTTAAGTGACTTGTCAAAGGTCACATAGCTATTAAGTGTTAGGGGTCAAATTTGAACTCAGATCTTTCTGATTTCAGTCTAGCACTCTATCCACTGTACCACCCAGCTGCCTATAAACTATTTGATACTATCTTGAATAAAGAAAAGATATCTGTTATGGACTTGGGCTGAATTATTCTAATGGGAAAAATTTTGTGATGGATTTTTCTATTTCCTCTCTTTCTTAGGAGAGAGGAAGGGGAAGCAAGTTAGCTAAAAGATTATGCAATGAGTACAAGTGCATTTAAATTAGGAGGCTTTCTCATTGGCTGAAAATGGAAGAATGCTCTAATGTGTTTGATCCAGAAAACCTAAGTGTTTGAATTCCATTCTGTGTGAGGCCACAAGGGATTGATGTTCTCGCCTAGATGGAATCAAGATGGTTAAATTAGCCATGGGGAACTTTCATTAAGGATGACTTTAGAAAAATTAGATGGTACTCTATATGGGAGAAGATTGATTTCTTTAATACACATTTGCAATTACTTGGCTTTATATTACTTCTGAATTTGTGTAGTCTTTCCTATAAATAAACCCCTAAAATTTTTGAACTGGAGTCTTTGGAGATAAAAAATAGAAAGGAAAGAGAAGAGTAATTGATTAGACTGGGGCCTCACATTTGGTGGCAGTGTCAGAGGAAGGGAAGGCATGTAACTAGGGTTCAGGTGTATCCAGTCTCTCAACCTGAGGAGCCACACTAGCTCAGAAGTCAGTAAGTTTAGAAGGCCTGGTACCTCCCAGCGTGGGTTTAAAGATTTGGGAAGTCTAGATATTAGGCAAAGGCGAAATCCTGAGAGCCAAAAGCAAAATCTGCTGAATAGGAAGCTAATAGTGTAAAGCCTAGGGTTAAATTCTTCATAATTCCCATCCTGCTAGATTCTAATAAAACACAGCTGTTTTTTAGGACAGAAACAAAACCCAGAGCATGAAGCATCAGTAGTTGAAATGAATTAAAATCCTTAATGTCCACTGTATTGTTATTATAACTACTACAAATAACAGCTAACTTTTATATAGTGTTTTAAGATTTGCAAAGCACTTTATAAATATTCTCTCATTTTATCCTCACAAAAATCTTGGGAGATGGGTGCTATTATTATCCTCATTTTACAGATGAGGAAACTGAAGCTGGCAGAGGTTATGTGACTTACCCAGGGTCACATTGACAGTGTCTGAGGTGGATTTGAACTTAGTTCAGTGGACCTGGTTCATTGAAGCTGGTTCATAGTTCAAAGGATCTTGAACTGTTCCAGGTCCAAGCCTTCTTTCCCCTGCATTTCTTTGTAGAATCATAGGCTTATAGGACTTTAAAAGTTATCTACAATTTAAAAGTTATCTTATAGATTTAAAAGTTATCTAAGTATCATCGATTAAGAACTGGTACATGGGAGACCATGTAGTCTAACCCTCTCATTTTACAAAGGACAAGACTGAGGTCAGCGTAGGGGTGGTGATGTTTAAGTGATGTGGTCAAGGTCACATACGCACTAAGCATTGGAGATCCCACTGACTGGGGTGGGATGTTCTGTTTCCAAATCTTGGTTTAGAATTTGGATGGACAGGTTTTTCCAGGACATGAAAGACAATTACTTTGTTATAGCAACACAGCACATTCTAGGATCTGAGCTCAGTTCCTAGAATTACCTCATTTAATGGGCAAAAAGGAGAAAGATGAACTATCATAGAAGTTCTTGCTCTGGCTGGGGGACAACATGTCCCTGTGGATGGTGAATGGTGGTGCAACAAATAGTAGATAATGAACTCCTAAAATAACATATACTGAGAATAATGCTCATAGCCATTAATCATAAGATAAGGATGCCAGCCTTGAAATTTGTTGAGTGGTTGAGTTGAGGTCTTAATTCTCCTGTTTTTAAGAGGTAATTCTCACTCTCTTTCAGGACAACCCGTCCACTTAACTTAGTGCTGAAAAGAAGTTGTCTAGTGAATTTGCCTGCCGACAGTTCCTAAATTCCAATACCGCTAGACACTCTTGTCTCTGACCTTCAGGACAATTCATTCAAAACTGATCTTTCTTGCCTAAAATCTTTCTTAATATTTTTTTTAAATAGTCCACAGTCTTTCGTTCATATGTTTACTGGCTTGGTTATGGTTTTAAGTTTTCAGATGAATTGGTCACAAAGGATGAATTTGACAAATTCATCTAATCAATCAGTAGAATAAGAAAGGATGCTCCTAGCTATGACTTGCATGTCATAGACTTGTGTCCTCTACCACTGCCAATGAGGAGCTCCTACTTTTCTTCTTCCATCTTCTCCCTTCCCCAAATTCCCAGTTAGGACACACAGAACATGTTCAATTCTCTGTACAGGAAGTACCTGGAGCCACCAAACATTAGGAGAGAGAATCCTATGAAATATAAAAGTTTTCTAATTGTTTGGAAAATGTAACTTGGCATGCAAAGAGGTAACAGTGTTGATAAAAGTGCTGTCTTAAAAAGAAAATCTTTAGGGGCAGATAGCGGCACAGTGGATAGAGCACCGGCCCTGGATTCAGGAGGACTTGAGTTCAAATCCGGGCTCAGACACATAACACTTACTAGCTGTGTGACCCTGGGCAAGTCACTTAACCCCATTGCCTAGCCAAAAAAAAAATCTTTATCAGCAGTTATCAGTTGTTCCTTCTCCCCCTCCATACACACACACACACACACACACACACACACACACACACACACACGTTTTAATGTTAAAGATATCAGAAGGAAATGTCAAGTTCTTTGGACCAATAGTAATTATTTTGCATCCATGTCTTTATTCTCTTTACCATTAATATCACAATGCTCTAGTTATGAGAATTACCTTGTCCCGAGAGGGTTCACTATTGAATCCTATAGAAGTTTGTGTGAGAGAAGTCTGTGACCTTTGCTCCCTCCCTCCCAACACCAAGCCCAAAGATAGAGAAGAGTTGCTTACTGTTTCTGGGTTTCTCCTCATCCATGCCTTCATCTTCATTCTCAGGGTCAATATCTTCAGCTTGAGTGATCCAGTCCAGGTAGCCTTTGAGGTCCTCCTCTAGCTGCTGCTTCTCTCGCAGCTTTTGGAAGTCTCCTCGAGCCTTTGCCTTCTCTCTCTCTTTGGAAAACTCTCTGGTGAGAGAGTGTGGGAGTAGTATGTGGTGGGTGGGATGGGAGGAAACAGGGAGAGAGAAGGAGGAGGAGGAGGAGGAGGGAAGCAGGAAGGGGAGGAGATGTGGGGATATTGAAAAAACAACAGGATTAGTTGGGGTTCCACAGGAAAACCTGCCCATATACCCTTACCTCTGATAGATACTCTCTCTATACACTCCTCTTCGTGTCACATGACTAGGGAAGAAGCACTGAAGAGGGTGTTCAGAACCATCACAAAACAGCCTAAATGGGGGTGGGGAAGGTTGCCTCTACTTTAGATCATGATCTTAGCATTTCTAAAGCACCTACTCTCTTAAGAATCCCTTACATGTAGCAGCTGTGAAAACTTAAAGAATAGAACCCATGATTTCATCCTTGTTTAAACAGTCAGCGTCCTGGTACTTAGTAGACAACTGGGAAGTCTCAGGGTTAATTAGGTTATAAAGGGCATTCAGAGAGAGTGTCTTAATCTCTGCAATCTCTACTCTCCACATTTAAGAACATCCAATGGCTGTTAGCATGTCCAAAAAGATTTTCAGACCAAAGGTTCTTTCCCACAAATAAATAAATAAATAGCAAAGATTCCAAACACAAGAAAATACCTTTTATTTAAAAAAAACCCAAATCTCAGATAATATGAAAATTTAAAGATAAATTTAATATTAAAACAATAGTGATTTCAATGGAATTAGAATTTTGCTGGGACAATGTTTCTTGTTCGTTTTTCTATTTGACCGTGGTTCTTTATCTGTTAATCTTGAATTCCATGTAAAGCTCTTTTGCTTTATTCTTCTGAACTCAAATTCGTGTATGTGTGTGTATGGGGGGGAGGGAAGAGTATATGGGTGTGTGTGTATGCCTGTGTGTTAAAGATGGTGGAATGGTGTGGCTGGTGCTACTTATAAGACTGGCTTTCAACTTTCACAGAAGAATCATTGTTAATTTATTCTTCATCATGTTGGTTCCAAGGAGACTTAGGGAATAATTTAGTGGGTACCTGCAGTTTTAATTTTCCCATCCTCTGCCTGAAAAGTTCCAACCAGAAGCTGAGAGCTTATAGAAATCAACTAGGATAGGATGGAATTTCTTCCTCAGATGTTTCAATTGGAATAGATATCCAAATAGAGAAGAGGGAAGGGCAGCCCAGATAAACTATAGGATGGTCACTTAACTGGCAGCATTATTTCCACGTGCACTTTTGAGTGTGAGCATTTTGTCTCTGTAGTCTGTCTGTACTATTTACTGCATTCACTGCACTGTTTACTGCATTCACCATTTGGTTGGAATGATGTGCAGCCGGTTTCTGGCTCTATGTGTGGAGGATAGTTAGTAGGAAGGAAGCCAGGAAAAGTGGGGCAGGGAATTTTTTTTTTAGTTGGGAGAGGTGGCGGGGGGGCTCATTCTAATGACTTCTCTTCAACTGCTTCCTTAAAGACATTCTGGCTTGGATTGAGTTTTCTTTTTAATTTTGATTGAATCCAATTCTAATTGGATTTAACTTTCTCTTTCCCTGGCTCCTGGCCAGCCAACCACATAACTCCATTTACTTTCCCAGGGAGCTTTTATATTATGGAAAAAAGTACCAGAATGACAGCTGGCACTGAAGATGGACACCCCCAAACCCACCCCCGCCCCCAGTAGCACATAATCATGTTTATGTACCAATGGTGGGGTGTGGCAGGCAGCAATGCTGGCTTATCTGCCTCCTGTTTTGTAACTTACCAACCCAACCTCAATCCTGCCCCTAAGGGATGGTGTCCTGCATCCAGAATTCCATTTCAGTCTGTTAATTACTTGACTTCCCTCAGAGACTACCTTTCAAGGCCTATCCTGTTATCTATACCTTTCCCATTCCTAATAGAAAATGAACCCCTAACTAATTTCCTATGGAATGGGGCAAGTACTAGAATCAAGAGGGCACTGAGTAACTAAATATTTCACTTTTTTTTTTGCAAGCAATCCAGAGTAGGAGAGAATTCAGGTTCTGGTCATAATCAGAATTCCCTCTTGGGGGATGATGGGATAATAGGATTTTAGAGCTGAAAGAGACTTTGAAAGGTCCCTCATTTAATAAATAAGGAAACTGAGACTCCAAGAGGTCAGGTGACTTGTCCAGAACCTAGAACAAATCAGAGTAGGGGAAATTGAGTCGTTTTTATTTTGGAACCCAGTGGAATGAGAATTATCTATGTAACCAAAACCGTAAGTGAAGCTCACACAAAATGTGGGGGATGAAAAATGCAAGGTTTTGCATTTGCTTATCAGTTACTTATCAGTTTCATGGGTTTTAAGATTTCATTTCCTTGAATTGTACAATTACATATTTCGAGGAAGGGCAGGAGATGATCCTCCTGTAGGCCCAGTGATCCTATGGTATAACCCAGATGTGTGGCAGTGAGGAGGGAAATAAGGGCTGGTCTCAGCCAAACCAAAGACAGTAATGATTTGGTGGATGGCAGAGTCTGGCTCCTTTATCTTCTTACTTGGATGCCAGCCATCTTTCTGCACTGGGGCCTGAGCTAATGAAGACATTTAAACCCTAACCTCATGGGAGCTGTGTTGGGTCTTGGGACTGAAGTTAGGTTTTACAATCAGTCGCAACCCCGGATTTTATCTTAAGGAAGAAATACATTCGTCACCAGCAATAGCTACCAAGAAAAATGGGTCTGAGAGTTCCTGCGTTGTTGTTTAGAAATGTAAAACATACAATAAGGGAGATGCAGTTGAAAAGTCTAGGACATATAGACTGGTGGACTAGATGAGCTTTAAAGTATTTTCCAGTTTTAAATCTTATTCTAAAGTCACAGCTTTGAGGGGCAGAAATTCCCTCAGAAGCTAATTGCATACCTACCCAATGAAGGATATTTCCTAGTTTTTTTCACTTCAAGCCTTCTAAAACAGAGTTTTGAATCTGAACAAATTGAATCTGTGACAATTTGCTAAAACCCCACAGGTTATAAATTTCCTCCTCCATTAAATAATTGGTTCTTCCTTTTTATTCTTGGGTCAGGGTTATCTTGGTCAGAGGGACAAAGATTTAATGATTACTAAGCCAAAGAGATTCCAAGTTCCATACCATTTGTTGCCAACTGAAGGCATTTTTCTGCTGTTCTTTAGAAGAAAAAAGATGTTGAAGATTTTAGATTCTGTGGAATATTAGCTGATTCAGTCTCAAAGACAATTTCAGGAATAGTCTTGAACCTGTCTCTATAATTGTTTTTGGCTCTTGAAAATGAAGTTTCTTCAGGGGATTGTAATTAAGGGTCAAATAGGAAAAATGCCTGCCTTGCCCAACTCATAAGACTATTGTGAGAATAAATTAGATGATGAAAGTGTATATATGTATGTATGAAAATATACATATATATGTACGAGTGTGTATGTACACACATATGTATACAATTTGAATGTATAATGTGATATGAGTGTCAGGTAGTATCTCATTTATATGGATTTTCAGTGAGTGAAATATCCTGGTTAAATGAAAAATTAATATAATCACCACTACCACCATTCACAACTTCATCATCATCACCATCATCATCATCTAGAAATGTCATTATACAGAGCCCTCATCCCATGTCAATGCCAGATAAATGATAGTTGACAGTCACATAATGCTTTATGATTTACAAAATACTTTGTATACCTTATCTCATTTGGTCCTAACAACAACCCTTGAGATAAGTAGTACAAAGCATTATTGTCCCATTTTCTAGGAGAGGAAAGGTTAAATGTCCAAGGTCACACTAGAAAATGAAGTTTGGTCTTTACCAAATCCATCGTTTTCCATTTTGACCACAGCTGCCTCAAGCATAACTCTTGCAGCATGGAGATTATTTTATTCTAAATACTTTTTCTTGGAAAACTTTCTAAAATGAAGTACAGATTTTCCTGATTTTGTGAATAAAGCATGTTGAATATAGTTGAACTTTTTAAGATTCAGGGTTATTTCATTTTATTTTTTTTTAGTGAGGTAGTTGGGGTTAAGTGACTTGCCCAGAGTCACATAGCTAGGAAGTATTATGTGTCTGAGGCTGGTTTTGAACTCAGGTCCTCCTGACTCCAGGGTTAGTGCTTTATCCACTGCACCACCTAGCTGTCCCCAATTTAGGGTTATTTTGATAAACATCACTTATCAAATTCTTTCGTAATGCAGGTATTAAGATGTGAAGGGCTGGGTTTATTTGTATTTCCCATACTCTGGAACAGCTGAGCTATTTATTCTCTTTGGTAGCCATGCTGTTTTCTATCTCAGTAATCCCCTCAGGAGTTATTGAGGTTTGTAGAAGTGACTGCCCTACACAAAATTACCAGGTACTATTATTCTAGTTGGTGATTTCGCTCCCTCTTCCCTGGTTAGATTAGGTGGATCTAACCTGTTAGATCAGCCAGTAGGAAAAAGTTTAGAAAAAGAAGCTTCAGCTTTGAGAATCCAGATTTTTGAGAAAATCTATGCAAAGTTCCCTGCTTCTTCTGCAGAAGATTAGCTGCTAGTGACCTCCCTAAACCATGAAGGACAATTGTTTCCTTCCTAATTTTTTTTTCTCCTCCAGCTTCCTCTCTGATCATCTTCCCTAGGCAGGGAATTTGGCACACACAGAGCAGATGATCTTGCCAGGAACTCTGGAGGGCAGAGCTTTGGCTATGAGGAACACAGTAGAGTCACCAAGAATTGGTTATATGGTACTTCCTAGTAAGATTTCCAGGAAGGGTCATTGAATAGATTTGTATACTCAAAGGTTAAGGAATTTATCAGAAATACTGGACTCCAGTACTGACTACAGATGGTCAGAAATGGTTTTGGGAACTAATGATGAAGTAAGCCAGGTCAACTTTTGGCTTTAAGTGGACTTTTTTTTTCCTTTTTCTTTCTTTACTTAATGTCTCAATTCATCCTGCTTTGTTATGCCAGCTATCTCTGCTTAAGAAAGGGGCTTCTATGTGGGTGATATTTACATTAGGGGCAGATCCCAAGGATGAAAATTGTAAGATCCCAGGAGAATGAAACAAATTTAATGACCTAATCCCTATCCTCAACCTCAGATTTCTGTGAAGAGGATTCCACAGTTATTCAGATTTAGGGAGGAAGATAATTGGGTTACTTTTTGGTTTAATCCTTAAAGATCTGACTTTGAACATTATTTAGTTTCATTCATTGTGGGTTCAAAAATAGGAAGTGTGGTTAAAAAGGAGATCAGCATGGTGTGAGGGAAAGTACACTTATTCTTTGGATGAGGACCCAGTTTCAAATTGTGGCTCTGTCACTTGGTACGTGTGGGACTTTGGTCAATTTGCTTCAGCTCTCTGGGCGTCAGCCTTTTCATTGATAAAACGAGTAGGCTGTTCTAGAGGATCAAAAAGACCCCTTCTAGTTCTAACATTATTGATTCTATTAAATAATTGCTAGTATGAGTAGTCTCTCCTTTCTCTTTCCACCCCTCTCTACCTACCTCTATTCTGGGGATGGAGGTAGAGTGGGACTGGGCTATAGTTTTAAAATTATCTTTGAGAGGTGAACTTAAAGACACAAATATTTTCTTGTGTTGGAATATAATATAGAACATAACCATAAAAAATGCCCACCTTCCATGCATTAGATCAGAGGATCTTGCCTTTCCGCCTACCTCTGTTTACTATTTCCCCCTTAAAAGTTTTCACTGGTTTTCATTCATGAGCTCACCTTGGAATGAAAAAAGGGATTAGGCCAGTAAAATATGTAAATAAGTTGCCCATACCAGAGAGGAGACAGGAAGGGAGTGGGGGTGAGGTGGGGGTGGGGTGGGGGTAGTCCACTCTTCCCCAGTTTCAGACCAAGAACACCAATTCTGTGTTGTTCCCAGGCTCTCTGAGGCTTAGCAGTAACTATTCCTGACTTATGTACAAGCTGGCAATGACAGGCAAGCTTTTTTCTCTGATTGTCTCTTGGCTTTAATGGCCCTTGGCATCTAGGAAAGGTTACTAAAAGAAGCTGAGCTGAACTACTCTCACTGGGGTCCAAAATAACTGTAATGTCATCACAGATATAGTTCAGTAAAAGCGGCAACAGAGGAACAACAATGAACCAAAGGCTCATCAGTAAGGGTTTTTAGGGCCAGTCTTGGCATGGCTGGTGTAGGCATATGGCAGAGTAGGTGGGTGGTGAGGAGGCATTCAGCTGGCTCCCCAAGGTGCACAGATGTCTACCCATGGGATATTTAATACCCCAATCACACCCCATTTCCTCTACTTTTTAAAAAATCTGACTTCAAAATTATATTGGATCTAATTTTTTTAGCTACTATAGTGGGTTAGGTTAATGAAGACTCTCTTGGAAACCGAGCAAAATTATAATGTACCACTCATCTCCCTAGATAGTTTATTTCTTTAAATGACCAAGTTCCCGTTCCATTGAGAAAAAGGTACATCAGCAATAAAGTCCTTTGGTTTATAAATAATATAAACATTTTACTAGCTGATAAAAAAAAGCAACAACCCAATATTCTTCTAGTTGTACAAAATGAAGCTAAATGAAAGTAAGTCACATTCTTTTTTAATGACCTACTATGACTCTGTAATTCAGGCAAATAGGTAGCTACAAGGCTGCTATATATATTAAGAAACAACCTCTATGAATCTTCCCTAATACCAATTGGATGCTTTGCCTTCCCTACTTAAAAGAATACCCTCACATACTTTCACACTATGAAGTACAAAAGAGCATACTGCTCTTATGAAAAGGCTACTTGGGATGGTGCTGACATAGCTGGTATAATGAATGTCATATCAGCCTGGTCATCTCTTACCGAAGCCATCTGTTCACCCCATTGTCTATTATCCAGACCAGTGGATTGATTGTTGGGAGTCTGTGCTTTTTACCCAACAGGCTGAGGCCATTTGTTTAAAGGTTCCTGAAACTGACTCACTTGTCTCACTAGGTTTAGTGAGACCTAGAGAAAGTGTAAAGCCAAGAATGAAAAGAATAAATAAAACAAATGAAAAACAGTAATGTTTTCTTTGGTACTGCTTACCCGCTAAGGACACCGAGAACCAAGTTAAGAACAAAAAATGACCCTATGATGATTAGTGTAACAAAATAGATCCAGGGCCAGTCCCTTCCTACGGCATCATTGACCTGGAAGAATGGAATGATAGTTAGTGAGATACACTCTGCAACCGAGCATGGCAAAGCTCCACTGGGCACCCAAGTCACTGGTATCAGGAATGTTGGGACCTAACTCTCCTTCTAGGCCAAATCATAAGCCAAATGTTGTCAATGTGTGAGTGATTTTATTTGAACCAAGAGATTTTGATTTTCTGTGTTTCCTACATCCACAAGGGTCCCATCCACGAAGATCCTGGTGATGGAGCCCTGCTCGGCTGCATTGGAAAGGGGACATGGAGATGGTCAGCTTACCCGCTCAATACACCGAGAACCAGATTTAGAACGAAAAAGGATCCAAAGATGACCAGACTGACAAAATACACCCAAGGTAACTCATAGCCCATTGCGTCTTGCATCTGGAAAGATGAAGGAAAGTTGGGAGAGAAAGGAAGTTAGGAAAGAAAGAAAGCAGAAACATGTTAGAGCAGAGAGGCAGGTGGAAAAGTATGTAAACAGAACCTGTGAAGGACCCATTAGCCTGAACTTCATTTTCCCCCATGAACATTATTACCTTTTTTTTTCCCTCTTGGCATCATTAGTCCTCAAAACTATTTTCCCATAACAAGCACTTGAGTTGTTATGGTCCTTAATAGATTTGAAAACAACCCCTTAAAGGAGACTATGGCCTTGTACTTTCTGTTGGTCTAGCACCATTTTCAGTAGGGAAAAAATTAACTGAGACCAGATTTAACGTACTTTCTCCTGTGAAAGCAGGTATTCCCACCAATAAATAACATCCAAATTAACTAGTTAATGTACTAGGAGTTGGTGAGACAACTGAAGACTTGGCACCAAACCAATCAAGGGGTGACCACGCAGGGTCAGAGTAGGCTCACATGAATATCAAAGCTTCTACAGCACCTAAGGGCCCCTGAAGACCCCCAGACCATATGACCTTATGTATAATGCCTTGCTCTCCCTAGACGTTATTGGCATAGCTGAAGATTTCGAAGGAAGAGGAAAGAGGAAACCATTGTTTCCAATAAATCTGGATGTGTAGCTCCTGGAATAACCCTGGTATATTCCACTAGGAATGTTTGGGACCTGCTTGGAACTTACAAACTGGAAGCTGTAGGATAACCATCTTTCTATATGGGAAAAGAACATCTGTCACTATAGCAAGGAACAGGAAGCCAGCAGATGTTCTCAGGGCAAGGCGATGTCTACCAACTTTTTTTATGAAGATGAAAATTTATGGGGCTGTAAACCTTTCATTTACACCTCTTATGATGTCCATTGAGGTTAGTTTTAAAAAACCATAACTGTTCATGAAAATGACCCCAACTTTATCCTTGTGAAATTACCTAGTAAGGGCTTTCCATAGAAATGGACCAGGACAGGCCTTGTCAACTATTTGCACCATCCTCCACATAGCTTCTCACTCCAAATACATTCCTACAGTTGAGCACATACTTTGACCACATTGTGGAGGAAACCACTCAGCCTGATTGGACTGAAGTGCTATATCTAGTTCCTTCCTTGTTGTGTCTGCCTTATGTAATGCTATAAGGTTGGAGCTATTTCTATAGCTTACCATTTTCTGAGTGTTAAAGGATGATTTGATAAAGAAGTCTATTAAGGCCTTTAGGTATTATTAGTTAGGCTGGGATAGTATGGAAAGCATAATTCTTCTACAATAGGTCCACTTAACAACGTATTCGTGATTCAATGAACGCAGTGAGGTGAAGATTCATGATTCAGTGAGGTGAGGTGAGGAAGCACTGAATTGATGTAATTCAATGATGGGATTGGTGAGGGGAAGAGGGAGGTGAAGGCTAGGATGGGCAAGGAGTCAAAGATGACTAAGGTTTTAAACCTGGTTGATTATATGAATGACTTCTGTGATCATATTTTCTCTGCCTGGTAGTGGAAAGACCACTGATTCTTGAGGACTTGGGTTCAAATGTCATCTCTGACAGCTATTTGTGTGACCTCGGACAAGTCACTAAACAACCCTAGACCACAGTTTCCTCAACTGTGAAGAGCTGGACTGGACTGGATGGCCGGTGAGATCTCTCTCTCTCTCTCTTTTTTTTTTTTTACCAATGATCTATGATTCTTCTACCCTTAAATGTGGGTTTTCCCCCCAAGTTCCTATCCTTAACTCGCACCTCTTTCTATACTCTCTAAGATATCTCATTTATTCCTATGATGTCATTTAGCATCTATGCAGGCAGTTCCAAAATCAAAATCTCTGACTCACCCCAATCTTTCCCTAGAACTCCCTGCCAGATGATTCTATCTCAACATCCTGCTGACACTTGAGACAATACACCTAAAAGTGAACACCTCTCATGTCCCCTAAAACTTGCTCCTCTCTAATTCTCTAATTCTGTGATGCCACCACCATCCACCCAGTCACCTAGGCTTGTAATATTTGGTTCACCTTTAACCCTGACTTTTGAACTCCCCCACATCCAACCAGTTGGCAAGCCCTGGGGATTCTATATGGCAAACTCTTCCAGATGCCACTTTCCACCTTCAGGAGACCAAGTCTCTAGTCCTGGCACTGCCACCACCTAGCCATGAACAAGTCATCCCATCTTTCTAGATCTGTTTCCTCATCTATAAAATGAAGGGGCTTATATTACTTCATTGAAAATCCCTTGATCTGTAGATTCTTTGCTTCTGGTTGCTTTTTCAACAATCTGCTTGTGTACTCAAAAGACAGGTAGGCAGTAGAAGGGAAGGGACAAACAGTGATGGGAGTAGGAGGGTAAAGAGGCTATTAGGATGTTCATCTTTGGGCGTGTATGTGTATGTGTGTGTGTGTGCGCACCTACACGTGCTGACAATATCAACTCATTTTGTAGGAGCCAGAATTAAATATTTAATTATTGCTTGTCAGATTCATGTTCTTTATTGAAAGTCATTATTCTGGGTCACTTATTATTATGGTGGAAGGGAGGTGAGGGAGGAGAAGAGCAGACAGAATGGAAATTATACAATGCTACTGAAGTTGGAATGGAACTTTCCAAAAGAAAAGATGAGAAAAACCAAACACAATAACCCAAAGTTTTTTTTTTTTTCAAAAAGGTGTCCTAAAAAAAGATTTTTTCAAAAAAGTGTCCTAATTTGCTGACACCTTTAGTTAGTGGCTGAAGATTTACTCAGTGGAAGGAGGAAAGTTGCAAAGATGCTGATTTTAGCTTTTAATTTTTCTAAAGGACAACTTTGTATACTTAAAAGTGGAATATAATCAGGGGTGTGTTGGGAGTAGGCTTAGACTTCAAGAGCCTATTGTTAAATTTTCAGTGTGAGTATTTTATGCCTCAGAAATTAGTAAACACTACAAATCAGGGCTTGATTTATTGTTTGGTTTATGGTCTGCACTTAAAGAAAGTGTTGGGAAAAATATTAATGATACAGATTTAATAATCTCTTGTGGATACTTTTTTTTTCTTCCAGAGAGCTGGTTGCTAAACATTACAAGCACATCTCTGAGTATAATGCTTGGGAAGAGAGTAAGTTACTCATCATTGGAAGCCTTCAGGAAAAGGTTGGATGAACACTTGTCAGGGCTGTTGGAGAGAGGATTCTTGTTCAAATATGGGTTGAATTAATTCTGAAATTCTTTATTCTGGTGCACCCTAGAAAGAACATCAACCCTGGTGTCAAGAGATCCAGGTTTGCAGCCAAGATCTGAAACTTAGGAGAGATCGTGGAAAAAAACACTTAATGTTGCTGAGTCTCAGTTCAGAGGATCATAAGAATAATAATTCTTATACTAGCTACCTTTGAGGGTTGTTGGGAGGAGAATCATTTGGAAACCTTCAAGCGCTACTAGAATGTGAATTATTGTTACTATTGTGTCTTCACTTTTCTGAGGCTAGTCTTGTCTTAAACATACAGTAGAGAAGCTCAGAAAACTCCCCAAGGAACAACAAGGAGTCTTGTCTTGACTCCACTCGGAAACCATAAGGACCTACAAAGCAAGAGTGGCAGAACTGGGGTTACTGTGTTCATGACCCGAAAGGAATTGGATGGAGAAACCACACAATTCAATGATCTCCACTATTTTCTGAATAGAATCAAGGAATTAGATGAACATTAAGGTCATTTATAACCTCAAATCTATGACCCTATGAATTTAAAACCCAAAGCAATATACTAAAACCAACATCTAATTGCTGGAGGAAATAAACAACCACTAAATCTACTTGTGAATTTCTTAAAAAAGTAAAAGGAGAAGAATCTCTCATTGCTAGGTTTCCCCCACTTTTGCCACTTCTAGACGTGTTTATCCAAGTGTATCTCTATACAACATCCCATGACATTTTCTCTTGAGGTTCTGGCTTTAGAAATAGCTGTTCAAAATGAGGTAAGGGGGTTTTTGAGTGAATACTCTTGCTGATTAATGGGGAGCCTGTCACTTGACATGAAAAGGTTGACTATGTAAAACCTATAAAAGTAACTCAGCCTTATATGTTGTGTCAGGTTTGGCAAGATTCACTGTTGAAAGAGTCAATAGATTGAAGTAGCGGCTAAATAAATTGTTGGGCATTTGTAACCTCTGTCATTATGCATACTGGGAATGGGAGGATGGCAGTCTTATAAGTCACTAAATGGACCTCAAGTCTAAGAATGGATTTTACCTTTCTTCTCTGCCTTAGCTTATTTTTGTATACTTAAAAGCCTGTGTCTGGCTTTCATTAATTTCTCAGTTATTTCCCCTCTTTCCTTAATTCTTCTGGGGAACCAGTACTGTTTGAAAAATGCTATTCACCTGGTTAGTGGGAATTCTACTAGTTCTCATTTTACATTTCCTACAGTTATGGTTAGCATTCCCTCTGGCTGAGACAGCTAGTGGCCCAGTGGGTAGAGTGCATAACCAGGAATCGGGGAGATCCAAGTTTCAATCTGGTCTTGGACACTTACCGTCTATGTGAGTATTAGGAAAAAGATGGTGAAGTCACTGAAGTTCTGGACTGAGAAATTACCTGAGATTATAAATACCCCATTTGAAAATC